GTGTCCACCATGACCCCTAGGTTCTTTTCTGCAAAAATGAGGTTATACCTTCTACAGAATATGCAGTATGAAACTAGTATGAAGTGAGAAGAGCAAAATTTTAAGCCTGATGCAAACTCCATCAGGCCAGTTTAAATTGTGCCTTAAATTGCAAATACAAGTAGGAGTAGAAGTTAGCTTTAACTCTTTTTTAACTCTTACTCCTGGCTACCATCAGGCTTCTTTCACTGCCGGTGGTTTGGTCTTGGGAGATTTGTGCTGTTGCTTTTCCACTGAGCAACCACTGAAGGTTCCCCATTTCCTTGGAGCCATGGTTCTTCCACGGATCCCCCCAAGGATGCACAGGCTGTGTAAGCTATGAGCTGCCAAGGAAGGCAGTGCCTCTAGGTGTGGTTTTTATGGCTGGTAATATTTCATATGTCATGTCTGAAATCAGGCAGAACAGGGCATTGAACCTGGGTCTTGTACATCTTGGGTCCTGCTGGCTCTTGAAGCATCACAGAATAGAGCTGCAAGGTACTGTAGGAGATCAGTTTGTCCAGGAAAACTGAATTCAGGCCCCAAAGGCTTCACTATTATTATTCATTATTATTATTATTTAGCAAACATTAGATAAACTTATAACCTAAGAAAACTGTAATATTCACATCTGTAGATACTCATTAAAAATGGGATTTATTCCCAGAATAATCATACACTAGTTTCCTTTTCTTCTAAGGAATACAGGGCCAGAAATCTTGCAGTGAAGCAGGATCAGAAATAACTAGGTCATTACCAGTGAAAAGCTCCACTTTCCTTGCTGTTTTTGTGCCCGTGTTTGACTTCTAATACATACTTCACACTTACCTTCACAGAGGTTCATTTTGTTCATTTCAAATTCTCATTTTAATTTGTTAAGAACATGCTGAATTCTGTTCTCCACAGAGTCTGACATCTCTCCCACGCTGGGGCGATTTGCAAGCTTTTTACTACTGGATCGCTGAAGTTATTAATAAGTAAAACTTTGTCCAAGACAAATCCCTGGGGCTCTCACTTGAAATGCTCTCGCTATCTCACACTGAACTAAGATCTGCTTGTTGTATATATTTAATCTGGGCAATTTAATTTAGGTCGCGGTTTTACGTTTAAGCTTCTAGTACAAAGAGGAAGAGGGAAGAGTGGGGTGAATGCTAGATCCTGTCATCCATCCCTTCCTTGTGTCTGACCCCGCTTCCTCTCTGCAGAGGTGAAAACTCCCTGAACTGGCTGTGGAAAGTCGGGATGAACCTTTTGTGCCATGCAAGGTGCATGTATCTCCCTGTCTGCAGAGAGGGATAGGCAAGAAACGGCTGCCCAATGCAGGATACAAAAATGTATTTTTATGCCAAAAGTGTTAATTAATTAGTGTTTCTTATGAATCTGAAGTTTTAGCACAAGAAAGATTTTTATGACTTCTAAACTCTCCTGATCCTTTTTTCTGGACAGGAGCAACTGAATGACATGGTGCTTTTGGACTCTAAGGAGTATGCTGAAAATAAGAGTTGCTGGAAGTAATTTTTAAATTGTTTAAAATGCATTCTTAGATTTGATATAACTAAAGAAAACACAGTTACCTAAACATTTGTAGTATGTGGCCTTGGACAGGAACTGTATCTTCCTTTGGGGGAGAGCAATGGGCAGTGTAATAGCATAATAGGGCACTGAACCGACTTAAGTAATCGATTAATTCTGCGGTAACTAATAGTTACTGACTGAGCTTTATCTCCCCTCTCTCTGGTACACAAATTCCACATTAAATTTGATCCAATTACATTAGTGCTTAGGCCAGCGAGGCTGAAATTCAGGCCTCAAGTTGAGGGGTAATTGTCCATGCAATGAGAATAATGGCTTCATAGCTGTGCCCTATGCACGAATCCACACTAAATGAAATGAGGTTCCTCCCCAGACTGGCTGTGTCTGGCTCCAGCTACACATTTGACTGGCACCCTGACAGTGGCGGTATAACCACAATTCCTGCATCTTTGTATGTGGCCCTGTATAATTCATCCATTTTCTTGCACGGACCTCCTCCAAGCTGGAGCCAGATTTTCTGTTCTCTTTTCAGTGGTCAAGTAACCTTTGAATCTTTTTGGATCTTTCTCTCCCCTTGCCAGTCTTCACAAGGCATTATATTGCCATTCACTGCTGAGCTGCTACGTGTTCTCCAAGGAGGTTTGTTAGGTTGCATTAGTACAGGTTAAGATCTGCGCTGTCCCCACTCCTCTGAGTACCAGCTCATTGTTTGCTAACTGCAAGGTCAATAAAATTCTGTTTTCTGTCAAACAACAGCCAGTTTTCTTATGAGAGTTGTAGCAATCTTTGGTTCACCAGCCTGTCATGTGGATACAGATGCAGGGAGCATTCATTAGATATACTGAAGGATGTAGGAGGAATTTTTTAGCCATCCAATTTTATTCCTACAGCCATTGCTGGTTTCACTTTTTTGTCCTATGTGGACGCTTTTATCTAAGTGAGATTATGGCAGGCCAGAGATCAGATTTGCTGAGAGAAGGAAGGAAAGGGTCTGAGAAGCAGTTGGCTAGCCAAACATTTTTAAAAAATATTTATTTTTTGCTTTTTTCTAAAGTAGTTCCAAGAGATGTTTTAGCTCTGCTGTTTTACAATATTATCAGCTTGATCATAGTTTAGTAACTGAATAATGATTCAGCTCTTTCAGGTCATGAGTCATTCAAAAGCAAGGATTTGACCAGTCAGTCTGGAAAAGAAATAACACTTGTCTGCAATATATTTATGCATGTTCATATGAACAAAAAAAAAAGAAAAAGAAATCTTCCAAATACATTTCAGGCTTTTCAGGAAATATTTGAAAGCTGTGACAATTCTATGACCTGACAATTCTATGACCTAACAATTCTAACAATTCTTCATATCTTTCACCACTTACACACAGCTGGCTCTTCTCTCTCCTCCTCTCCATTTCTCTTTTCCCAAGTCCAAGTACCAGCTTAACATGAATGTCTTTGAAGCCAGAATAGCACTAATAATGCCTGTTACCCAAATGTCAGAAGAGGTCAACATACCAGGTCCTATGTCCCAGAGAGATGGAAGACAAAGCCTCTGGAGCCAGGTATGGGAACTGTCCTGGGGCAGATCTTCCAGGCAATATTGGGTCATGGACATGCCAGCTTCTTCAGGGGGATGTCAAGAAGACAGAAATGAGATGATCTGTCAGTCCTGACAGTCTTGTCCTTTGTACATTTCCAGCCTTGCAAGGCTTTCCTTTTGTTCTTGGTTTGCCTCTATTTCTGCTGATATGTGAGATGGGCTCACTTTGGTAGTGGGTCAAGAGCGGCTGTGAAGCAGGCATTAGGGACAAACTCATTCTTCACTAAATAATTCCAACATTTTTTTTAGAGTGTTTGGGTTTTATTCATTTCCTAATTATTCTGCAAACTTTAGGGGTCAGGGCTGATTATTTTTGTGTTTGCAATGACACTCATTCCTGGTAAAATTCCCCCTTGTCAGTAACTTGAATCAATGGCTGTTAAAGGTGAAAGCACCTCTGATCTGCTGGTCAGATCTATGCCTCCTTCAGTCAGCTTTTCAGCAAAACAGCAATGAAAGAAGCATGACTAATGAGGATCTCAAGGTGTAGAGTAACGTCACAGCTGCAGGTAGAAAAAGCAGACTACAGTGAGCCACTGAGAAGTTTAATTTTCATTTTATGCAAGTCTTTTCATACCCTGAGGAAGTAGGGGGCAGACTTAATGCCCCAAGAGGTCCCTTCAGCTGTAGCTTCCTAAAGAAAGGAGCTATTCATCCACCCAAGCTCAGAGAATGGTATTGTGTGAGATGGACATCTCTTGATTAGTGCTCTAATCAGCAGTGGCACAGGGGAACAGGTTGGAGGAACCTTCCTAAAGGCTCCTAACAAGCAAGGCAAAAAGGCACAACTAATATACCCACATATAATAAGTAGGTCTTCAAGGAGAAGAATAAATGAAATGCTGTACTTCAGAGAACACTGTCATGCTTTGATGAGGTTTATGGAAATTTTTGGCTGAACTTAACAAAAGAAAGTACGTAAGGAAGGTCGTTTGTGGCATGACCATTTCTCACCTCAGTTCTCCTTGTGGTTTCAGTAACATAAAATAAATGAGTGTGATCACAGCAGTGGTTCTTCACAGTCCCTCAGTATCATACAATAACGCTTTTAAGTTTCAGAAAACTCCCTTCTTTTCACACATATGGAAGATGTACAAATCTAGTAGAGTAGGACTTGGTCAACCCCGCAACATCCTTTACAGTTGTCTGTCTGCTGCCTGTGTTTGTCAGTCTAAAGAAAGCTATAAAATCTAGGTGATGTCTCAAAAGCTTATTCTGTGGTGAAAAAGAAATAACTGTTTTGTTAGAACAGCAAAGTTTTAGCACTTTTACAGCTGCCTGGGGTTTATTTCCAACAGTTCATTAATATTCAAGTCTGTTAAACCTAGTGAGAGGTACGGAAAAGGAGTAGTAGCTGTATGTGACTACAGATCAACAGGGAAACAATTTAATGAGTTTCAGCCATAGATTAAGTCATAAAGTTCCATACCAGAGTTACACACCTAATCTAAAGTGATACACACTGGATAATCTATTCTAATGCTGTATAATTCCTAAAAATTGTTATTTTACCTGTATAATTGCATGTTGTCTGAGGAAAAAAACCCAAACAAACAAAACAACAAGGCATGCTAGACTCTGTGACAGAGTAAATTGGAGGAGATGTCCTGAAATCAATGAAATTATGCTGATTTTAACCTCCTATCTCTTAAATAGGCTGGAAGTAGAAATATGAGCTTGAATATTAGACTCCTAGACATTGTCGTACTCTCAGTACATCCATTCTTTTGGCACTGCTATAAGCATATTTGAGGCTTAGAATGTGTAGGATAACTTAAATTTCCTTTCTGTAAATTGCTTGGAGAACAAACTACTGTATCTTTATTAATATTTCCTTTATTTTATTGTTGTTTCAGGTTAGGTTTCCCAATGATGATTGTGTCCTGTACCATCGGGATGTGCTATCTTCTTGTTGCTCATGTTGTAGTAGGTTGGAACTCATAGTAATTTATACTCTCAAGACTCAGAGAAACTTTCTCTTTCATTTAGTTTATATATCAGAACACTAAGAACACATATAAAAGGAAAAAGGTGTGTAAAATTCCAGCATATGGTATTAATCAAAATGGCTGTCAGCATCAACATCAGGTTTGGTCATTCTTAACCTTCTGTTTTGTGAACAATTTGCAGAACTAGACAATCAAAACTAAAAAAATCCATATATTTAATAATGAATGCAATTATCATGCAGATGAAAAGGCACCATCACAAGGGAATATGTTGTGCCTGAAAGTTTGTATTGACACAATCTGAGTATAGTCACAGATGAAAAACTCATTCACAATAGCAGATGTTCAGTAATTTCTTTTTAGGGCTTCATTTGTCTTTGTCAATGTATTTAGCTATTTGTATTAAAGTAACTAGTATTCAAGTTGTAATAATAGACAGTTAAGCAGAAAGTCTGTACACTATGAAGGATGTATCATTATCTACGTTTAAAAATAAACACATCTCCTGAAAATGTGCTGTGGAAGGAATTATTATTTTGGAACCAGAATTGCATTCTATGGAGGCTTTGGTTTTGATTTTAAAGCTCCTAACCAGTGTTAAGCTACTTTTCTTCTTAAAATAAACTAATGCCCCTCTTCTTACAAACGTATGGACATAAAGTGTGATAAAGCACCGGACATCTTCCATTTAATTATTAATTCACTTCTGTGATGTAGTACTCTAAATCTTTTAATAGGTTAATACACTATATGGAAGCATGAGATCATACTTTGGCTTTGATTTCCTTCTCTCTGATAATAATGTGTTAAACCACATATATTGTTTTGTATAATTGGCTGCCAGAACAGGTCAAAATTCTCATTATAAATATTAAGTCCTGTGAGGCATTGAAGGTCTCAGTCCCCATCTTCCAATACCTTTGTGGGATGGGTCTGCATTACTGGCGGGTCTGTTTTATCTTGAGTCAGAGAAATTGGCAACCTGGTGAGTGCAACCCAAGTGAACAAGGCTGAGTTATAGGGAGCCAGCAGAGATGATCAAACGTGGCTTTTAGTTGTGCTTAGTCCTTGAGATAACCTGGCAAGTGATAGAGAAGCAGTATCTCTCCTGCAGAGGGTGTGAGGTTAATCATACGTCCCATTTTACTCATATGCAGGTTGTATCCCTCACCTAGATGTTTTTTGTTTTGTTTTTTTTTAAGTCTGAAATATGATATTAAGAGGCTAATGGAAATGAGGCACAGCACCCACTCAAAGCAAGAGTGGCTCCCACCCCTCCTAATAGAGTCAGTGGTAGCAGAGGAAGCATGTGGAGTAGGAGGGAAAGAGCTCTCCCCATTGCCCCAAAACCTCCCACCAAGACAGACTTCCAGCCCCATCCATGCTCAGGCCCCCTTGGTTGGTGAAGTCTGCTGCAGTGGGGCTGAGTTTTGCAGCACTGCTGAGAAACCTTGTGGCTGCTCTAATAATGACTAACTGTAGATCACAAGATCTTCTCCCAGAACCAGCACAACCTCCTTTTATATTAAAAAAACCACCGAAACCAAAACCTTGTAAAAAGTCTGGATCAAAACAAAACAAAAGAAAAATCAAACAGATGAGCCTGAAAAATGCTCCTTCAGACAGTTTGTCTGAAATTGAATTTGGCCTCTCTCACTCTCAGTGTGGAGACTTTTTCTTTGTAAGAGCAGTATACACTGTTATAACTGGAATTCTGTTTCCATTAAAGAAACGTTTATGCTAATCAACTTAACATCGATCCCTGGTTAAAAATATTCACACAATATTTTATAGCCCTCAAAATTTCTCACATTGGAGCAATCTCGGTGCAGTCATTGGTTGTGCAAGAACTGTTGTATTAAGCCCTAGAGAATGCAAAATCAGCCTCTTCTAAAACACATTTGGTTTTATCTGTTTTGGGGGATTGTTTTTTTTCTTTTCTTCTTTTTTTCACTCACAGGATTTAAGGTTTTATTTTGTTTTCTGTTCCATTAAAACATTGTTGGCATGTAGGAGTATAAAAATGAGACTATGGTCGCACAACACAATTTGTTAATTCTTTTTTATTGTTCTTTTGAAAGGGTAAAAAACTAAACAAAACCTAATCCTGCTCCTGGGACCTTGAAACCCTCTTCCGAACCCTAAGCAAACTCATGCTAATAATGCAATCGCAAAAGCTGACATGAAGATGCATGTCTGCATTTTACAGTTTGCTGGAAGGAGAAGGAGGAAGTGCAGCAATTCATTTCCACTCAGTCGTCTTAGCAAATACTTTGGAACACTTTGGTGCGGGAGAGATCTCACCGGTTTCAGAAGTGATACATCAACAGGACTCAAATGAGATTTTCTTTCTCTTATGTTACTTGTTCTGTCAAAAGAAGGCAAGTAGTGCACAGGGAGTACAAAATCATATTGATCATGCTTTTAGGCAACCAAACTTAAGGTTAAATTAATTTTGCTTCTAGGAAATTTTTTTATGATGCACTGTTTTCCTGAGGATTTCCTTCAAATAAACTGGCATTCCTTCCTTAAACAACATTGTTGCTTCTTTTGCACAGCCAGGAAGAATTCAGTGAAAGCTCATATGACAAAGCAAATTGTAAAAAGAAGGTAAAGTTGTTTGCACAGGGCTTTACGTGAGTGTAAAGAAAATTACCCAGGTACTTTGGATCATTTTGAGGTAATGAAGTATATTTTTCATTGACTTCCATTATAGTTATCAATGTAATCTGCACATCAGAACAGCACAAGTTACACTGACTACATCCTTGACAAAACTAGTGTATAGTATCCCATAAAAATCAAGTGAATTTGAAGAGTGGGTGGAATTTATTTTTTTAGTGAAATTCTCTCTAAAAGGCTGAACAAAATATTAGTTAAGCAATAAATTATGTAGAAGTATATTATCTTTAGTATGCTTTTGGCTGTTCTCAGAGGATGGGATTCTCATTTTCTTTGACATCCCTTTGGCTATTCAGTGATGTTTGTTTTAAGCCATAGAGTATATACAAATATATGACTACTCTGAGATCCATTTACTGTTTCTGAATGGTGTAAAATACATTAAGACAGCAATATATGAATTATAGCAATACAGGGCAATGTAAGCAAAGCCTGTTAAAAGAAACCATCTCCAGCAGATAAGCAGGGTAATTACTGAAAGCAAGGAAAGAAACAGGGACATACTAGAACTTCACCAAGTATTGAGCTATCTAGCAAAGAATAGCACTGAGAGTGGCCAAGGGTCTGGCCAGCCCAGCATCTAACAGCAGGGCATACTGGGTGCCTGTGAAGAACTCAAGAGTAGAGCAAACATAAAATGATGTTTTCCCAGAATATTGTCCCAACTTTCAGAGATTTCTGTGACCCAGAGACTTCTTGAATAAGAAATGGCATCTTTATATTGCATGGCACCTGATGGATTGTCCTTCCACAAACTTAGCCAGCTCCTTGCTGAACCTGTGTAAATTCAACATCTTTCACAAGGAGTTTCACAGATAAACTATACACTGTGGGAAAAATATTCCAGCTGTTTGTTTTGGACTTGTCCTTTGCTAATTTAATTTTATGACACCTCTCCTCCACGACCTTTCCCAAATCTTTTGGTTGGGAAGGGGTAATGAATAGCCATCCTTTTTCTAGATCATGATTTTATAGACATATTTCCAGTCTGGAGATCACAGTCTATTTGCTCATTTATTATATGGAAATACTCTCATATCTTTGCTCATCCCTTTTTTCACCTTCTGAAGTTTCACCATAGCCTTTTTGAATTGAAGGATGTGAAGTATAAACACTAGCCAAGACACAAATACACCATGGATTTACACAGCAGCCTGCTGATTTCTTCTGTTTTTCCATTTTATTCCTAGTAATTGTTAAGATCTAATTCAGGTTTTGAAGTGTTATTGACAGATAACCTGAGGAATATATTTTCTTAGAAGAACATCTTATAATAACAAGCTGCGTTTCCCGAGTGAACATTATTAGCTCACTGTTTAGTATGTAAAGTTAAGGTTATTTTTGCTCCTCTATCTACACTACCTTACAACTGTCACAGGCCAATTTTGTCCAGTCATTTGCTCTTGTAAAGGTTTTCTGTAATTCTTTACTGTTAGCCATTGTCTTTGCTACCACGAATAACCCATAGACTTTCACATTTAAACTTTTACTTCAAAATCTAGACCATTTGGAGATATGTTGACCATTGCAGAGCCAGCCTGACTCCCTCTCGAACGTCATGGAAGGGCCATACCCCTTATCCTGTGGTAGTTCAACTTCTTTAAGAGCTGTTGGACTGGATATATTTACTCTCTATCGTAACTACAGGTCAATTCAAAATGAGTTTAAAAACTGGAAATGTTCTCCTGTACTGCACAGTGAGCTTTGTGAACACCTTGCAAGCAGATATTACTGAGGTATGATTGAAAAAATATTTCTCACTTCTATGAGAATAGTTGAATTGAACTGCAGGATTTAGAAACACTCAATCATCTTGAAAAATGTATAATGATTTATTCTTTGGGGAATAAGCGAACTCCAGATCATATCTATAAAAGGAAACTTGCCTAATTGAATGGATTGTTCCACAGCTCTTCATAAAAGCTTATTTTAGACCATACCAAAGCTTCTTGTACCATGTCTTGGTTAACACCAAGTCTAGTCTTAGAAAGTAATTCCAGTTTTCTTAACAAAAATCAAAATAATGTATTGTTTCTAAGAAACCGAATTTTAAAGGTACAGTTAGAAATGAAAATTGTTTGACCACCCAGAAAGAGGAAGGTCTCATCTAAGAAGTCAAATGTAATTTGCAAAAACTGTCTTCAGACAACTTGCATTGCAGACTTTCTCCAGCAACTCAGAATGATTTTATATTTAATATATGGGAATAGGTTCATAAAGAAAAGGCTTCTATTTCCTACTGTGTTGCTAGCTTTCTGTGTCACTTTTTATAGTCAATGGATTTGTTTATGTACTTGTTTCCTGATTTTACCC